GAAGCAACAAGCAAGTGGAAGAGAGGAAGGGGGAGAAAGGAAGGGGGAAGGGGAAAAGGTGGTAGATTTTATGGCTGGCGACCATAGAAGTAGCGCTGGGAAAGAAACACGACTTGCCCTAGCAGTAGCGCCAGCCTGCTAGTAACTGGGGCTCACCAGCTTACCCATAGAAGAATAGTGGTAGCGCCTGTTCTTGACAAAGCTCTAACTATAATCTTAGTTGTAGCGCTGGGTAATAGCAAAGGCGCTGCTAGTATCTTCTAACCTGAGGGTGCTGTGTGGCCCACTTAATAGTAAGCACCGTGTGGCCCATCCCGCGCTGCTGCTAACTAGTACCATTAGCGCCTATTTTACTAGTACTTACTAGTAGCGTCGTGACCATAACCAAAGCTACTATTAGTATTCTGCCTATAAGCTATTTCCTAGTAGTGGAAGCTTGGTGTTGGAGAGGAGAGATTTTCTCCAGGCCTGGAGGCGCCTACCCGTGTACTGCAGCTTGTGAAAAAGGATTCTAGAAGGATCAACATGATTGCAAGGCTCATTCCACGCCCCAAAGCACGATGTCAGAGAACCCAGGCACACGTGTCCAGAAGCTCTCAAATCTAAACGCCCTGTTTGGCAAAGTGTTCTTGAAGACACAGAGCTACAAGTGTAGGATGTTTCATTAACTAAGAAGAAGGTTGTTGCCTAGGTTTTTTTCTATTGTAAGGTTGTTGCCTAGTCAATTACGGGGAACCATATGAAAACCGATACAAACAGGGCCAAGCCCACTCAAAGAAAGCAATCACAAGGACACACCCACTATGGAATGGCTCAACAATGTTCTTATGTCGTTACCTTGTAGAAGGCATTGCCTGGATACACCCAGACTGATTTTTTTTGGGTGACAACCTAGATTCTGCCCTTGAATGGTTGGTCTCGTGATGGCGATGCTTGAGCATCACTCCCTTCGTGATGGCGTTATTGTTGAAGAACCTTGTTGCCTGTGTGGTCTAAGAGATGGTTGATGTGGATATGGTCATTTTTGTAGTTTGTCGATAGAGGATCTGATCGCTTTGGGTTTTACTTTTCTCTTTGTCTCTACATAGCATTGGTCTTATACAACTTTGCTATTTGTCAATGTGTTATTGTGTGTGTGCGTTGGTATTAATCGTGTGCATCCTAATTATGCATAGAATAGGTGTGTGCTCATTGTGTTTGTATTCTCTTGATACTTTATTTTGAGTTAAATAAAAGCTATCCTTTGTTGAAAAACTGCTGGAGAATAGTCTGAAGGTGAAGGAGTACGAACTCCTCAAGAGGAACTTCAGTGATGCCGAATGCTTTGGGTTCGGTGTCAAGGAGGACTAGATATTGATGGGAGCAATCAAACTTTTGGCATGTGCATGTTTATGTTTATTTTTTACACTAGGTCGGCTGCGAATTTTGCATTTCGATCAGCACTACGGGTTTAAAGTGACTTTCAATGTCCACTGTGGGTTTGTCAAGAGTTTCCCTCTCCTGTGAATGTTTTAAATGACCTTGAAGCTAGTAGACCCCTCCTGCGAAAGGATGCCTGAAAGTTTCAAAAAAAACACCGACCCGGCTTCGATAAATAGCTTCCTCAATTAAATAGAGCCTATTTGCAGTATCTCGGACATATTTATAGGGAGCAATGGAGGTGGAATCAATAGTCATGTCAGGTTTCAAATTCAAAGAGAGATGTCAAGCAAGCGCCCAATCTGAGTATTCAACTTGCCCGACCCGCCTCTTCCAGTAGACCTCGTCTTTTAAAGAGCTGCAGCTCGGAGTTAGAGTCAATATCAAAGATGGTGACATAACCAGCAGAAAGATGGAAGAACTAAGTTAGGTGAAGTTGGCGTCATCATCCTCTAATGGCACCATCATTAGTATTTTCTTCGATTTGAATCTTTCATTGACTTTCTTCTATGGCTACTTCTTCTTGATTCTCAATAGAAAGATATGGCACCAAAAGTTGTAGAGCTGGTCGTCTTTCATATCGAGCCATTGAAGCAGCACTTCGTGCTACAATCGGACAATTCCATTGTGGTATGAGCAGACAATCCCCGCCTACCATCACTTTATTTGGGATCTTTTTCTTCTTTTTAATCTATATATTCATAATTCAGTTAACCACGAGATGTAGTATCCTTTCTTGCATGGAGATGGTCAAAAGTACATTGCTTTTGTTAAGAAAAAATTGAGTGAGCAATTCAAGATGGCGTGAGGGTGTTGTTGATAGATGGAGGTCTGACCACACCCTCTAGAGTGCCATGAACACAATTCTAGTAGTATCTCGGAGATTTATAGGGGTACCCTGTATATGTGAGCAACTACGATTGTACTGTGTTAGAAAAACAGAGCCTGTTCCAGCACAACGATATGGACATTATCCTTATCTATGAACTTAATAACAAATCTATTAATGAATCCATCCTCATGTGCATACACATACAGCCGGCCCCGGCCACGGTCCAACACTCCCAATTATTTACATCCAGTATATCGTGCATTATGTACAAACACGTGATCTATGTGTGTGTTTTTTTTCGGATGGCGTTATACATGACAACTACTAACAAGGCTGTCGATTTGCTATAACATGAGCTAGCTTTTTCTTCATCAGATCTACGTAGTTGAATCCAGCAGCTTGTGCTTGATCCGAGTTGAATCGCGGGTGGATCATCAGAAGCCGTCGTAGAAGCCACCGAATGATATGTTGGCCCTTGTGGACGCGCCTGCCCCCATCATAGATGACATGGCCTGGTTCAGCCTCGATGTCTGATGCACCACCTGCTGAATTCTCTGCACAAATCAACAAGCATATCAACTTCAGCCAGGCTTCTATTGGACAAATAATAATGACTAGTTAGCTTCAAGTTCAACCCTAGGCTATTTCAAGATTCAGTTGCACAAGAAGCGGATGGCGTGGCGCCGATCCGGCCAGGTCAAATCCGGGAAGAAAAATCCGGTGTTGGCTGTGCACCGGCAACTACGAAGCGTATGTGGCGACTTCATTAATCTGAAAGATCTGCCGGCTCAATCTCGTGAAGATGCTCGTAGGAATAGGGAGCACGTGTATGCGGTGAGTGTGTGTGCGCATGTATGCGAGTGTTTGTAGTGTGTTTCTAAATAAAAAACAGTTGATTGATACTGTAATTGATTTAAGTTGAGTTACTAATTTGAACAGGAGTCTGATGCTCTGGATTGGATTAGGTAGGGAGCGAGTCAGCAAACCTTATCATCGCCAAGGAACTGCAGCTGGATCTTCTGCTGCTGCTGGTGCTGGTGCTGCTTCTGGTGCTGCAGCCTGCCGCCGACGAGGAACACGCAGACGGTGGCCGCCGCCACCCCGAACGAGCACAGCGCCCCGACCGCGTTCACGCGCAGCTTCCCCACGCTGAACACCACGCACTCCGGCGGCGCCCCGTCCTCCTCCTTCTTGCCCTCTTCCTCCTCTCCCGCGGCGAATTCGTGAGGAGGAAGCGCTGACTCCCCTTCCTCTGCCGCCGCCATCTGCCTGCCATCGTCGTCCACCTCCTTGGCGTCGTCGCAGGCCTGGAACTTCTCCTGTCCGTCGCCGTCAGAGACTAGCAGCTCCGGCGCCGCGGGTTCCTCATCCTCTTGGGTTGATCTCGCCCCGGCCGGCACGACGTCGACGCCGATGTCCTTGCACTCGTCAACATTATCAGCGTCCACTTGTGACGGACGAGGCATGATCGGTTCCTCGGTTTCGTGATCTGAAATTACGCGCGCGATCAATTGCAGTTACAGGGATGAGAACACGAGTGGAAACCGAAGTGAATCGTGATCGAGAGCGGGCTGATCGGACCCTTCCTTACCGGCAAGAACCTCGCCGCCGCCGTGACCACGGGATGCGGCCCTGGTCTCCGCGTAGAAGCTCCTGTGTTCGTCAGGCAGCACCTCCCAGTCCCAGACGTCCTGGACGGAAGGAACGCCTCCTCCCTCCATGGCAAACAAAACTAATCGACGGACGCAACCGCAAAAGCTAGAGGATCAAGCTTGAACCCGATTGCTTGCTGGCGCTGGACGGATCAACTGATTGGCAGGGGAGCAAGGAGCCAGAGGGAGAAAGCTATATATGGGTGGGCACTCACACACATGGGCATGGGCACATCAGCGTCAAGTAGCCAGCTCCTTGCACCAAGGGAGAAGAAGGCAGAGGAAGAGGAGAGCTTGTGTGCGGGCTTATCCTTCCTGCTAGGGGACAAGGGTTGGGGCCTACCACTCGCGAAGGAGAGAGGGGTTCTGTATCGTTCTACCAAGTTGCCGTGCATTATTCACGATAGAAATGCCTGGAACGCGATGACTTTTCAGGTTTCGGCCAGGGTTGAAATGTTTATTTGTGGCTCCTGTAAAACCCGTGTAAACATTTTTTGAGAACATTGCGCGATTAACATGTGTCGCCTCTCTCAAAAAGCTTGCAAATTGACGTGTATCCTTTTCAAAAATCCTGGCAACAGAAAATTCAATGACACTCCCGGCCGGGGCGTTCAACAGAACCAGAACAGGTTTAAAATAGAGGTCAATTTGGTACGACAGAAAGCAAGGCGTGCGTGCGTAGCTTGCAGGTTAGATTACATTACAGTACAGACGTATTCGACGTTACGACACTACATACCGTAATTCCACTGCAGGGGCTAAAAAATGAAATGATACTAATTATCAATGACGCGGAAATGAATTAGGTCAGAAGCTTCTGTAAGAAATCAACATCAAGAGGTTGAGATGTGACCCAAGATAGATGGCGATCGATGGATAATCACGCAGGAACAAAAACCATATAGGGCCAGTAATTCAGAACGGGAGATATCAGAACTACCCTTCTGCTCCAGCGACGACAGGCTTCACAATAACTATGCACACAAACGCAATGAGGCCTGTGAAAAAATTTCAGCCCATCAGCAGCGGCCTTTCGTCATTATAAGTTTATTTAGTGAGCCATAGGATACTAAAACTAACAGATTAGACCATCGACACAAGTTTAGCAAAACCACAAATAGGATTGGTAATTGAAGAGGATGCAAACAGCATTTACCAAAATCTTATCTGATCAATAAACTTTCGGGTCGTAATAAGTGCCTTTTCAATAAAGTTCAATTCATTGATAGATCACCCTGGAACTCAAATTCTTTGATCACTACTTCACCTGACCAACAGGGAGAAGTATATTTGAACCAAAACATATTGAAGCTTTACTAAGACAAAAGTTACATCAGTTCATAATTCAAAACGGTGCCAATCACTAGGGCAGCTCACTATAATCCTAGTCAGTACCCATAAAGAATGTGTTGTCAGAACACATTGATAAAATTTGGAGCCACAGCCAAAATTATGTTCACACTTCTAATGCGGGGAGAAAATCTCAGATATTTGACTAGGTAGCAATTTGCTCCCAGGAGTTTGATAAGACATAGTACAAGTATACAACAGTGGGGAAGTGGCATGCTGGAAGCAAAGTGGCAGCTTTCTTATACTATATCACTCCTGGCTTCAGAAACTGCATACGAAGATGCAAAAGCGAACACAAAATTACTGATAACCGGGGATTTCAAATCAAAGCACAAATCTTGTGCAAACATCCAGACAACACCTGAAGCTACAAGACTGCAGATTGTTCTCAGGACAGAATATTACGATTATTAATTAACTTCGAGTATTCACTGCCTCATATAAACGCAGCAAGCCACCTCATCTCTGAGCCATTTCCATTTGACAAATAGTATATCTTTTTCCACTTCTCTTCTGAAAAACTTTCATGTCGAATAATCTTTTGCCTGCCCAAGAAATAGATCAAAATGGTCATTTGCTTCAATTAATTTACAAAACATTTCAAAAGCCACAGGTCACGCAAATAGAGCTTCTGTAAGCACATGCAATTGCCGGCTATGGCACGATATTCAAAAGCTATCACTGGACAGAATTTTTATTTGGAAGTACCTCATATAATAGTGGCACACAGTCTCTGCTTCATCTACGGTGTACCGTGGAAAAATCAGACGAGCGTCAGAGGGAACATCCGGGAGCTCCTGTCTTAGTTTGCCAACTGCGGTTGAATGTGAGAAGGCTCCTACCATCATATCATTGTGAAGCATTGACCTATAAGCATTGACCTGTTGAAGTAAGCAATACATAGAGTATAATTAGTTGTGATCATTTCAGTCAGAAGGGCTTAAAAAATCATGCACGTACATTTTCAGACCAGCCAAAGTTGGTGAAAGAGAAGATTTATCAAATAAATATGATGAGTTATACAATAAAGTACTCCCTCCGTCTGGAAATACTTGTCGGAGAAATGCAGAAAAATGAATGTATCTAGAACTAAAATACATCTAGATACATCCATTTCTCCGACGAGTATTTCCGGAAGGAGGGAGTAGTTCGGAAAGCAATACCAGTGCCACATAATAAGAGAACTTCATTTGATTTCCTAGACCAAAACGAAGATAACCAAATTTCTCATTTAAGAATTTTTGGTACACTATAAAGTACTCCCTCCGTTCCAAAATATAAGTCTTTTTAGAGATTCCAATAAGTGACTACATACGGAGAAAAATGAGTGAATCTACACTCTAAAATGTGTCTATACACATCCGTATGTAGTCCATAGTGAAACCTCTAAAAAGACTTATATTTAGGAGGGAGTATACATTGCATCTACTTGAAAAAACAAAAACAAGAAATGCTTTTCAGAACTCCAAGAATCCAATGCAACAAATCACAGCACTGCTACCAGCTAGATTAATGAAACAATAGAACAATCTAGGGCTGTAAAGAAAAATAAATAACCAGAAAAGGGAAAAGGCCTTAAGCTTTTTACAGTAGCATAACCAGAAAGAGCTACTCTCTCCGTTCTTTTCTATAAGGTGTATTAATTTTTTTCAGAAGTCAAACTTTCTATCTTTGACCAAGTTTATAAAAAAAACATGTACGATCCCAAATCAGTATCATTATATCCATCAAGAAATATATTTTCATATACTCTCTCTGTCCCATATCAACTGTCGCTTAAACGGATCAGCCTCGTCGATGGAGGGGGGCAAGGTGGACGACAGCACAGGGCCCCCCAAAAATTTGGGGCCCCCAGATTACCAGGTTTAGCATACTGACTGTACGTATTAATCCAGCTGCTAACCAAGCAAAGCCCTAAGAAAACATACAGAGAGCCCACTCAGCTTCAAAGCCAGCCCATGAGGCATACTTGTACATGTATCGATCAGGCATGTTCCATCATCGACACAACATGCCATCGGTTCACTTCTCCAATTCCCCCAGGATGCCGCCGTCTGCTGTCTGCCTTCCGGCGATCGGCGATCGCAGAACGTCGAGGCCATCTCCATGGCGCCCTCCAATCCTCCACTACTAGTGTACTAGATATCACTGTCTAGTCTACTTAACTTCGTCCCTGTCTTCGATTACTAGTACTCCGTCCGAAAAAGCTTTTCCCAAGCTTGTTCCTCAAATGGATGTATCTAGCACTAAGCTTGTCCCTCAAATGGATGTATCTAGCACCAAGTTAGTGCTAGATACATCCATTTGAGGAACAAGCTTGGGACAAGCTTTTTCAGACAGAGGGAGTATCTGATTAAGTTTGAATCTCCTCGACGCTAAGTTAGGAGTAACCGAGTGGGTCAATATTATTTGTCCATGGGGCTAGATAATTGTATTCCTGTCTGGCTCTGTTAGGTTGACAGGGACAGAACTAGGACCAGATTGAGTTTGTCCACGGAATCTTGGTCATGAATTTATTTGTCCACGGAGATAGGTTAAGAATAGAATGAAATTAAGTTTGTTCCTGACCAGTGGTAATAAAATGGGAGTACGTTTTATTTATATTAGTTCTTCTGTCATATGAAATATTTCGAAATTTTGGGCCCTAGTTTGATTTTCGTCCCGGGGCCCCGAATTTCTGGAGACAGCCCTGAAACGGATGTATCTAGCACTGATATACGGTTAGATACATCCGTTTGAGCGACAATTAATATGGGACGGAGAGAGTATTATTTATTAGTACAGCAGATTTGATACTCCCTCCAGTCCATATTAATTGTCACTGAGTTAGTAGAACTTTGTACTAAAGTTGTACTCCCTCCGTCCCAAAATTCTTGTCTTAAATTTGTCTTGATACGGATGTATCTAACACTAGAACGTGACTAGATAAATCCGTATCTAGACAAATCTAAGACAAGAATTTTGGGACGGAGGGAGTACTAACTCAGTGATAATTAATATGGATTGGAGGGAGTAGTTTTTTCTACAAACTTGGTCAAAGATAGAAAAGTTTGACTGAAAGGATACACAGGTGTTTGCCACTTTTGGAAGGAGAAAAATACAAGCAATTCCAGGGAGGATGCAACTTCAGAAGGGTAATGCTAAAAAACGTAAGCAGCTTTGGTGCAACAAACCGTTGTAAGCTCTTTCGCGTGGATTGATCGACAGGATCTAACAGTTACAGGCTCCTGGTACTCGGTGAAAGTAAACCAACTGTTATACTGCAAAAGGAAGAAATATAATTTATTGGGACTGATCATTACTATCACTATAACCATCACATTTGAAAGAAGCCGCATGCATGGGCACTAGTACAAGCATACCTGCCGCATGCATGGGCACTAGTACAAGCATACCTGATCAATGGCAAACAGTACAGGCACATCTTTAACAAGTGATAGCTCCTTTCTTAAACGAACTACAACACCAACTGCAGCATGCGAGTGGGTTATCCCAGTTTGAATGAGATCATACAATGTGGACCCTTCTGGCATTTCCACTGTGTCAGCCCCTTTCATCATTCCAACACCAGTACCTTCTCCCAGGGGAATAGGCTCAAGAATTTGACATGGTAACTGCTGTAAGCGGGTTTCGTTGTATTTCAAAAAATCCTGACGCAACAGTAGAAACAGATAGTTAGAGATTATTGACCCAGCCAGCTAGTTATAGTAGCGTGTTCCTAGTTATGTATTGTCCGTATGTGAGTAATCATCAACAAGAAATTGTGTTCGCCTAATTAAATAACTACTCCCTCTGTTTCTAAATATAAGTCTTTTTAGAGATTTCAATACAGACTACATACGGATGTATATAGACATGTTTTAGAGTGTAGATTCACTCATTTTGCTCCGTATGTAGTCTGTATTGGAATCTCTAAAGGACTTATATTTAGGAACGGAGGGAGTAGATGATACCCCACGCGTTGCTGCAGGAATTGCTTGCAGTATATTTCAATGAGATTTGGTTATATGAACATGAACATTTGAAATAATAATACTCCCTCCGATCCATATTACTTGTCGCCCAAATGGATGTATCTAGACGTATTTCAGTGCTAGATACATGTGTTTGAGAGACAAGTAATATGGATCCGAGGGAGTATGAACTAAACTGAAAATGTATGATTATCGTATAATTGAATATAAGTAGCATAACAGAATTGAAATATTTGAGCATTTTCCCATGCATAGTTGCATGCTGAGGTGGGATTACATTGTTGCATGTTGAGAGAAATAGGTTAGTGGCGATCACCTATTTAGTTATATTATACAGGATCACAATTTCAGGGGGAAAAAACTTTGTAGTAGTATTGCACATACAGATTTAGTAGACGCAATGGGCGCAGCATTGCACACCCTGGAACATTGACAATAGATGCATAAAAAAAGGGCAGCCCGGTGCATGTAGCTCCCGCTTGCGCAGGGTCGGGGAAGGGTCCGACCACTTTGGGTCTATAGTACGCAGCCTTTCCCCACATTTCTGTAAGAGGCTGTTTCCAGGACTTGAACCCGTGACCTCATGGTCACAAGGCAGCAGCTTTGACAATAGATGCATCCAACGAATTTTAATAAAACGAAGCATGATTAACAACTTGTTTGGGACTAAAGGCTTAGTTGTTGTTGTTGTTGTTGTTGTAGTAAAGCATGACTAACAAATACTTAAAGACAATATCAAATTACAAGCAAAATGTAGAAGCAATCTTATGGTATACTTAAATTTTGAATCTTCTTCACGAATGCACTTAGGAAATTTTAAATAAGAAAGAAAGCATACTACTCCCTCCGTTCCTAAATATAAGCCTTTTTAGAGATTTCAATACGTTGCAAAGGATAATAAATGTTTAGACGTTAATGAATACGCCCTGACCACCGACCAATGCAAAGTGGTATATGACTTATGCTGCATTAGGTGCTTAATACATTATGAATGGTGAACCAGCCCAAGCTAGCAAAATAATTGGGGTGCTGAGACAGAACAGATGAAATAACAAGAAAAGGTGTAACAGAACATAATGATATATTGCAATAAAGCAATTTCATAAATACTGAGAAAAAAGCAGAATACAGACATCATGTAGACATTAGCACCTGCAAAACCTTTCCAGCCTGTACAGGAGTATCAAAAAGATCACTGTAGGTATTTCTATAGAAAAATCCTCCATGAGTCCAATCCTTCCCTTGGGGAACATAGAACACCAGCCATCCCTCAGTACGGGCCCAATGCACAAGCATCGCAAGTGCAATGCTTTTACCACAACTCCGAGGGCCATCCAAGATAATTTGTCTTTTGGTATCTGAGGACAGATACAAAAAGGAAGAAGATTAGGGCCAGTTCATAACCTAATAATCCAGGGTATAATGTCAGAGGGAACATGTTCCTACACAATTATTTTTAATTGGATATCTTGATAATGATAATGTGCATCAGTAGAAAAGAATCTACCCCATGGCCCATGGGTTCCGGGGAGATAATTTTTATTCTAATGCAAACCAAACACAATTTACCCTAGCAACATATGATTTTATTTTCTTCATGCCTACAGATATTAGAAAGCAGAGTGTCACAGGCTAGAAAGTTATACAGTATAAGCAAGTACTCGATCCCATTTTAATATGGTGACATCAATCATGAAGGCATATTCCAAGTTCTGCCTTGTGCACCACAATCAAACCAGAGTTTTTTTTAAAGCTAAAAAAGAATTAAAAAATGGAATTAAAAACCTTTTGTAAATGGTCTTGCTGGAAAAAAAAGAACTCCACAGATAAGTAACCTGATCTCAATTGCTCCTTTTCACTATAGCTATTAAAGAAATCAACTCTCAAAGATCGTAATAAAATAAATTTTAGTTGAATTACCTTACACGAAAATCATCGACGAATCACGGGCAGTTAGGGGTATGTCAATTCACTAAGGGAACACAAATGAAATAACTAAGACAACACAAATGAATAGTGTGATGGCGCAATCAATGACAATATAACTGCAGGATGCAAATAAACCAATAAATACTACCGTTGTTCATCTAAGAAATATTAAGACTTGACAAGGCAAACTACAAGTATTGCATATCACTGTAACATGACATCACAGAAGTATACACGCACCTTTGCATTTGGCTGTAATAGCCGGATCAACAATTCTCCGGAAGTTATCCCGCAGGTCTAGGAAGCTTTCCCTCACCATCACCGCGCACCGCCTCGTGTCTTGAAACTCCTTCAGCATCCCTGCTGGCAATCCTTCTGGTAACATGGCTTTCCATTCATCCAAACTGAAACAACGGACAGAAAAAAATACTTAATATCCCAAAAAGGGTTCTCAACTAACAGCCGAGAACTCGACCATAATCATAATTAGCATCTCAGATCCTACATGTCCAATAATTGGCCTTTTATTGCAGGCATGATAGTAAACAATCGCTTGCATCGGATGAAATAGAAAGTGCAGCAGGTATAATAAATTATTACAAGAAAAAGATGCTGCAAAAGAAGACTAAAAATACTAAAGTTGATACAAGGAACTATTGCATTAAAAAAATACACATGTTTAGACGATCAGCAACATAGTTCAATTGGGGAAATCATCACGTTGAATGAGCCTGCTAAGCTTGTGACCATGGCATCAACCTTTGAACATTACTAAACCAAAGGAAAGTCTAAATGGCAGCAGAACACATGCATACTTCACCATTAGATTAGAGATGAAGCAACACAAATAGAAAAAATGCAGGGTATACAGCCTTACACCTAGTCACGTCGATATGCTTACAAAGTCCCCAGCTATATTTTCCTTATCAGTACAAACTTCAGTATCACAATTTAACCAACGGCATCTAGTATTAAACTTCATTTTATTTGGTGTAATTAGCACCAAAACTGCCACGAGAATGAGAACCGATAGGCGATAGCCGAACTTGACAAACAAAACAAATACATCTAAACGTAACCACGCGCATCGCCGCATTCGGATCCAATCGAGAAGACAGTGGACGAGGGAAGAGGATGGGTGCGTACGTGAAATCGACGTAGGCATTGGCGCCGCGGTGGGAGAAGGACGCAAAGGTGTCGGTGAAGGCGAAGAGCGGCCGACCGCCAGGCCCGACGTCGAGCGCCGGGTCGTAGGTCGGGGGCAGCGGGTCGGTGGGCATCTCGAACTCGGCGTCGATCTCGTCTGCCCCGCCAGCGGATGCGGCGGATTCCCCTGAAGCGGAGGCGTCCTCAGACGCCACGCCTTTGGGATCCTTGACACGGACCTTGCCACGGTTACTAGTGGACGCCGCCGGCTTGCCCCCACCACCCTTGGCCTTCGCGTAGGAGCGGGAGGCCAGGAGGAGGGAAGCTAGGGAAGCGGGCGGTTCAGAGCGCGCGGCGGGAGCGCGGACGCCGCCGGCCGAAACCGCGGCGGCGCCGCGGCGGAGGAGCGAGCGAAGGAGCATTTCGGCGGTGGGGCTTAGGCAGGGCGGCGGAAGAGGGTTTCGAGCTCGGTCTGTCCCTGCCCGACGGTTAATGGGCTCAAATTTGGAGCAACTCTAACAGAGTCAACCAAAGGAGTTCAATTTTTATTTTTATTTTTATTATTAGACGAGAGGAAGGCGTTCATAAGGCCCCGTTCGGTTCATAGGAAATCTGCAGGAATTTCAAAGGAACACTGTTCCTGTGGGAAAACTTCCCTACGTGGCGTTCTGAACACAGGATCCTGCTACAGCGTTTCGAAGGAATTCCTGTCTAACAGTGCCCATTCCACTGGATTGTAAGCATCCACTCAGATTCAATTTTTTTGGTGAAAGACAGAGGAAGGACGCTAGGAGTACGCAGTGCATGTAAATAAAATAAGGGAAATGTTTATAAACGGCGCGCCGGCCGAACCGTTCCGCCGGACGCCTCGGCACGCACTGCAGCTCGCGGGCCCATGCGCCACTCGCCCTGCCCAAACGCGTCAAGTGGCTGGGGATCACGTGGGGCCACGTGGCCCACTCCACACCACACCTTATCTCTTTCGTCTCCCACCACACCCTATCTCTTTCTTCTTTCTTCTTCCTCCCGTAGTATCCACTCTTTCTCCACTGCCTTTTCTCTTTCTTTCTCCCGCAACGAACCACTCCGCGAGCTGCTGGTGATGCACGAGGGGCGGCGAGTTATGCTACAAGGGGGTACCGGTGCTGCACTCCAGCCACCTCACGGCGAGCCTTCTCTTTTCCCCACCGCTGCCACACCCCCACGCGCAAGGTCGACAAGCATGATGAGGCGGCAGCCGCCATGGATGTTGTGCTGCAAACGGCAGCGAGATGCTACAACCACTCGCGAGAAATGCTACATCCGACGGTAGGGATGCTACAACCGGCATTTTTTTTTGCTGGAACCAACCATCAGAGTTTTGCTGAATTTTTTGTTTGCTGGAAGCGACGTTTTTATTTGCTGGAACCGGCTAATTCTTTTGTTTCAACAGACAATTGAGCTTCCGTTTGCTGAGATTTTTTGCTGGAACCGGCATTAATTTTTGCTACTACCGGCGAACTTTTTGCTACATCCATCAAGACGGAGCTGCGACCTCGCGACGGCGGCGACGGTGTTTTTGCTGCAACCGTTGTCCGGTTTTGCTACGACCAGATAAGTTTTTTTGCTACATCCGTTCAATGGCGTGATTGGCTGGTGGGAGTCATCGACGCAATTCCGTTCAGCGAGCATCAACGGCGAGGGGCGGCGGCGGAGCTGCAACCGGAGCCGCTGAGAGCTGCAACTACAGGTGCAGCTGTTGCATGGGTCGAGGCAGTGACGAGGAGGACCGGCGAGGGTGGGAACCAACGACAAGGACGGTTGGCGAGGGTGCGGATCGGCAATGACGAAGGCCACCGGAGGGGAGATGAGGCACCGGAGGGGAGCAGCGCGAGATGGCAGAGATGCGGGGATCTGCGCGAGCGTGAGATCCACGAGGAGGAAGAAGATCTGGGACGAATCAGTTTTTTTTTTCGCTAGATCGAACGGCCAGAACAAGTGGCATCCTGCGGCTGGGGTGTGACTGGCCCAAACTTTGGGCCGGTGCGCCGGCGCAGATTACTCGACATAAAATAAGGGCGCTGATAAGCGCCGGCGCGCCGGCCCAAATTTGGGTCGGTCGGCTGCCAAGCGTCGGATATGCGCGCATCAACGGGTGAGATTTGCCCTCGCGTTCCCCCGGGTCGTCTTCCTCCTACCGCATGCGCGAGAGAGAAGAAAAAATCTTCGCAGGTCAACCTCTGCCCACGGCCGCCCCTTCGCAGTTCGCCCAGGCTGCTCGCCGTCGCAGCTCGACGGGGCCATCGTCGTCGCAGCTCGCCGAGGCCCTCGCCGTCGCAGCTCGCCGGGGCCGTCGCCGTCGCAGCTCGCCGGGGCTGCTCGAAAGGAAGCTATCCATCCCTGTCTCCTACCCCCTGGTTGCAGCACTGCCGGTTAGGGTTCCAGCATCGCCACCAGCCGCCGTCATAGTTCACCACGCGTCCCGTCGCAACACCGCCGCGCAGCTCCGTCGTCGCCGCTCGCCATTGTTAGCTACCGTTCTATATTTGAAGCTTTTTTACAAGCGGGATGTAGCTTTTCTAGAAGCCGGTTGTAGCATTTTGCGGCATGCGGTGGCAGACCTCCAGCTACCATGTATCTGTATGAAACTTTTTTTAAGCCGGTTGTAGCTTTCTCGCCGCCGGTTGCAGCTCTTTGCGCTGCGCGGTGGTCGACCTCTAGCTATCCCATATCCAGTTGAAGCTTCTTTCAAAGCTAGTTGTAGCTTCCTTGGCTGCCGGACGTAGCATTTTTGGGTGCTGGTTCCAGCTCTGGCGTACTTCTGTCGAAGCCCCTTCCTTCTCTGGTTGTAGCAAAAAATGTCGTCGGTCGTATCATTTTGCGGTGATGGTTGTAGATCAAATGTGCACCGGTTGTAACACCTGCTTTCTCTTGTCCCTGGTTGCATGTAGCAAATTATGTCACAGGTTGCAGCTTCGTCGAGTGCCGTTAACAGCTTCGCCGTGGCCGGTTGAAGCATCATGTGCAGCACGTCGACGCCTGCAGGTTCGCCGGGGATACGACGCCCCCTGGAAGCAGTGGCCATGGGTGGCAGGACTGCATCATCGCGTGCACTTCGCTGGCGCAGTTCGAGTAGATGTGTGATGCGCGCGACGCTCGTGGTGACCGCGCGCCAGGGGTTGGAGCAGCCACTCACGACTGACGGCGGCGAGCGGGATGGGGGCCGACGACGATGAGCCGGATGTGGGCCGACGACTGCGAGCGGGATGAAGGCCTTCGAGGAGCTGGCGCGCACGATGGAGGCTGACGGCGGCAAGCTCCACCTCGCGCCCTTTGGCGAAACCTACGCGAGACGGGAGGAAAGAGATAAAATATGTGTGGCCTCACATCCTACGTCTCGTAACTTGAGTCGTTGTTAGCGTGCGTGCGTGGGCGTGATCGGCGCAACGGTTCGGCCGGCGCCCCGGCCACAAACACTTCCCATAAAATAATAGGATGGTGTGCATCCACTCGATGACAGTGGCAGAGATCGGTGGGCAAGGCGAATAAAATATTCATGAAACTGAGTACGCATTCCTTCGTTTGTCTGCAACCATGCAACCAACCGAACACACATTACTACCTTTTCCTAGGGTTTTTTCACTCCTTTGTTTTGCAGGTGTGATCCTTTTACATTCCTACGCTTGCTCATATTCCTATGTTATACTCACCCGTGTTCCGAACAGGGCCTAAAAGTGCAATTAATTTTCTGGTGGTTTTGGTTATTAATAACAACATACAGTATAAGTCATTCATCTAATGCTTATTAATAAGGTAAACGTCTGTGACCATTCGGCCGGACGAGCGTGCATTATTCGATCTAAGCGCCTCGTTTTAGCAACATCATGGCACACACGGGACCAAACGCGTGGTTGTTGGGGGGCCCGGGCACCACCCCCTACCGGCGTCTTCTTTCCTTATCCTTTTTGTTGCTCATCCCATTCATTTCCAGCCCCATCTTCCTCCCCATCCACCCACAACCAGGGGGCACACTCGTCGCCATGGCCGCCGGCAGTGGGATGTGTCTGCACCTCGGTTTGAGTCACGCATTGTTCGCCGATGTTGGATGCACCCCTCTCCATGGCCGCCCGCAGCCAGGGGCATGCCCGTCGCCTTGTCCGCCAGTAGTGGATGCGCACCTCTCCATGGATGCCGCAGCAGGGTGTTTCAATTGCCATTGGCCAAGCTGCAATCAGCCACGACGGCAATGAATTTGTGCTGGAACCGAGAGGGGGGCTGCTGGAACCAGGTATCCTATTTGCTGGATCCACCCATTTGTTTTGCTACAGCCCCTTTCTATTTTTGCTATCATTCCCATTCGATTTTGGTGAACATCTTCATTTTTGGCTGCAACCGGTGCCCTAGTTTGCTGGAACCAGCTGGTGGATGTGCTACAAGGTTGATGCCTCGCTGGAGGAAGCTGCATCCAGCTGCCAGGACTGTTACATCCAACGTTTTTTTATGCCGGGAGCTGCAACCGTGCACGATGGAGCTACAACCGGCTACTGGGGGAGCTGCAAGAGGGTGGCCTTTTTTGACGATGCATTTTTTTGCCTGAACCATTTCTTTGTTTTTTGCTGGAACTGATGTATTGTTTTGCTGGAACCAAGATTAATTTTTTGCTTCACTAGCTTCCAGAGCTCTTAGATGTCCAGGTTGTTTCCGCTGGAAGTGGTGTTTGATTTTGCTTCAACAGACCACCGAAGTTTTTTGGGATGCATCATTGTTCTTTTTATTTGCTGGAACCATGTCCCAATTATGTTGGAACCAGCATTTTGTTTTTGATGCATACGAGTTTGATGCATATGAGAGGTTGCATTTGTTTTTGATGCATTTGTTTGCTCGATGTAAAGTTGCATCGGCTTCTTTATGGCGGCGAGATGTGACGGTGACGAGCTGCAACCAATTGAAGTGGCGACCTATCATCAGCGGCAAGACTAGCTGTGAGCTGCGACCGGTGAAGAAGTTTTGCTGCGACCCACAACAGAGATGCTTCAACAAGCAACATTGCGGCAACGACGACGGCGAGCCGCAGTGATGTGCGGCGGGGGAGGTGTGGACGGTGACCAGAGAGGACGGTCGCGGCCCGCAGACACGGTGGCAACTACGCGTCTAGTTCTGCAACCGTCGTGAGGATTTGGGGGAAGAAATTAGATCGGGCGGTGTGTGATGCCCTCGATTCAATCGTACACTAATCATGCACGCAAACGTGTACGATCAAGATCAGGGACTCACGGGAAGATATCACAACACAACTCTAAAAACATAAATAAGTCATACAAGCATCATAATACAAGCCAGGGGCCTCGAGGGCTCGAATACAAGTGCTCGATCATAGACAAGTCAGCGGAAGCAACAATATCTGAGTACAGACATAAGTTAAACAAGTTGCCATAAGATGGCT